CGAAATCTGTGCCGCAACCGCAACAGACTTGATCATTAATGGAGCTGTCACCAATATAATAAAAATTTAGCACTGTCCCCCGTCGATGTGATACGATAACATTAAACATCTGGCGGAGCAATCATAATTTGTATTCCCCCGCAAACAGCTAATGAAATAGTAAGCGAGGGCTGATCTAATGTTATTGAGGTTCCACACATCGGCTGGCAGAGGGCGCGGGCGGCGGTGCGGCCCTCGTAATGTGATCGTCATACGTCCCGTTTATTGCCGTTACGGTAAATATATACTCGTACGGCTTATTTGTAATTATAGTTTGTTGTGAGTACGAGGGGAACCAACAGGGGGGTGCTTCACGCAGATTATAGTTCTCAGAGTACATTAATATAAATTAGAAAATTATTATTAAGTGTTTTCTCCCTCTCAGTTAACTTAGAAAATAAATTAATTGGCAATTTGTCATGGTTCGTTATAAACCTTTTGATACCTTCCTTACTCGATAAGTGTTTGATTACATAAAAACAACATTCGTGTTTAAGATGTTATAGTTCTACCTGATGGACAGAAAATATAGAAGTTCATTTCTAATTTAATTTTGTTTTATGGTATTTAAACAAGAATGTAGTAATTCTAAGCGCTTACCGCCTTATTTATTAGCTGTAGGAAATTCCGTCCAATATTTTCACCGTTGTAAACGCCTCGAATTCGCCTCAGTGAGGCGGCGGCACGTGGCGCCTGCATTCCTATTTGATTCGCTCATAAAACGCGTCCACACGACGTGTTGCTCACATCCTCCACTAAACTTTTACGTGAGAACATTTACCGAAGTGCAGCCTGCCTCCTGCCTCCTGCCTCCTGCCTCCTGCCTCCTGCCTCCTGCGTCCTGCGGCCCGCCGCCTGCCTCCGCTAGTATCGGCTGAATATTTCATACACACGTCTACTATCACCACTCACACATGTACACATATTAAACTTTAAACCAAACTGCCTCGATTCGTTTGTCTTGTTCGATTAATATTTTCTCTTGTTTCCGCACTTTCAAAATAGAATCTTCCCACACATTAATAAAGATTAATTTCCCAATATTAGTCTAAAGAGAGGTACCTAACAAGTTTTTTTGGTAGTTTTGTATTTCCTGAAGATATATAAAAGAAATTGATATGTAAAGTGGGAGCTACTCGTGCATGTTGTGAATAAGCAATGAGCTTGCGAATGTATGGAGTGGATTCTGAATGACCTGAATAACAACACATATATTATAAAGTGGTACTTTAAGCCGATTGCGTTTCTTTTTTAAACTTTTGTATAATGTGTAGCTATGATGATAATTAAATGGTCTCTTTCTGCTCAGTGACGGCCACTACCTGGAGATCTATGTAGATAATTAGGTTCTAAGTTGTACTAATCTCATCTATATCGCAATTCTTTACACAAAGGAAATCGATGATTCTCAACGATTATGACTGCTAGAAAACAAAACTTAGTTTTTGGACATTTTAAATGAATTATTATAGACAGACTTGTCAGTGTGGGGGAGCCAAGCTTCGGCTTCGGCTCGACTAGAGTGATGTCACGGCCTTACTGAAAACCGCTGTGATACAAACACTACGTTGTGATTCACCGTGTAAGTGAGATTACCGGAGGCCCAATACTTTCCTTACACTATCCTTCTCATATCCATGAAACTCCGTCACCTTAATCGCCAAAAGGCTGGCTATGTACTCGTAACTCCTCTGTGAACACGGGCAATGCCAGGTGCTTACCATCAGGCAATCAGTCAGCTCGTGGGGTACGAGCAGATTGATTGCTCTATTACATAAAAAGACAGTCTTGGTTAACACAGACACTCTCTGACTCGAGTTTGATCACAGCTACAGTGTATATACAGTGTACAGCCATGTCCCTGCGGGCCGGTGTCGGACTGCACTAGTTGGGTGGCCTGCCATCCTGCCAGGGGCTAGTGTTTGTGTTTTGTTGTTTAATCTAGGTCAGTGTGACTTCTCCTGTATGTTATGTGTAAACATTGTCTAGGGGTTTGTTTGTTTAAATCATTTACATCACTTCTTTAATTACATTCTAAATAATGTTAATGTTTTTATATGTAAAAGTCAAGTCAAAATTAGTTAAAAGTTGCTCTAAATCTTGTACGGTACTTTAACAAAAATGAATTAAGTCCCGGACTAGTAACAAGGGTTAGTATTTTGTATTAGCATAAATCTTAAAAGCCGTGTTGACCTCTCTCCTCATTTAATGAGTCTCTGAAGGAAGCTCCAAGTTACAACGAGCTCTATAAACCGTGTACATTAAACTATAATGTTCAACCTGCGCTTTGGAACAAATCCTTGTTTGCAGCACCCAACTTAAGTACTGTTCTGTCTAGACATGTATGTAGCAAGCAACTGAGGTAGCTGCTACATTACTAAGGTATGCAAAAATGGTTCCGAATGTATTTATTAATATTATCTCTCCTTTTTTTTTTGTTACGGGCAATCATCAAAAATGAGAGGAAGTGTCAGACTCTTACTGACTAAAACCCCCTGTTTCTTCTCCTGCTTTAGGTCAAGGTCGCGATGCCTCATTGCGCTTACCCCGCAACTCCGGCTAATTCTCTACCAAAATAGGTTTGTTTCCCCAGCCTTAAAGATATTATTTAACCGTATAAAGCCATAAAAATACTGATAAACAATCATACCTTCATTCAAGGATGTGTATCGTATTCGTATTTTTATTGTTTATTCAAGAGAAATAATTACACAATTTGACGTTAAAATACTATAACGTCACAACGTGCTATTTCATATAAGATTCTTATTTCTTAGACATTTCAATAAAAATATTGAATTTCATTCGTTGGAAACTACCCTATTCATTATTTAGTCTATTTGGTTTCAAAAAAACTTAGTTTTAGTGTGGAAGCACAAAATTAATAATATTATTTCAAAGTTAATAAAGATAATTGTAAAACGTCCACTTGTTGAACGTGTACGCAGTCAGCGGGTAATTGGATCAATTGTGATTTAATGCCTCTTTCACTCAATTGTTTTACGACAAAATTGCAGCCTATGTTAAGAACAACAATTAGCAGAAATATATTTGTTAATAGTTTAACATCAATACTACGTATTATTGTGCAAAGATTTGTATCCAATGAACAAGTGACTACAAAGGTTTACGGCTTACTGGCGTGTAGTGCAATAACTTAAATGTTCAAATTACACGAAGTTTTTCACAAATAAACAAACAACCAAATACCAGACGAACATAACTTACAGTCTCCAGACGTGAGCCTAAGATGTGAGCATTAACGGATCTTGGATTGATAATATTGCGCCTATTTGTGGCGGCGGGGCGGGCAGGATGCGTCGCGTCACGAACAAACATCACGCTAGCAACATTCCGCGCATACCTTACGTATTCAAAGAATATCCAAAGCTAGGATGTTTACTGGCGAGTGGCGAGCCACTACTACACATGCGAGCTATCGCTGCTGGTCGGTACACGAGTTATATTCAAATTAACAATACTGTTACTTACCCGACATCTCTCATTTTTCGGCAAAAACTTCGTAAAACTGTCGAATCGTTTTGTTTTTAGATCGGTTATCATTTTCGACCGTAATACGTAAGACAGATATCGTTAAACAATACTATTTGTTGTATTTCTACAAACGTGTCAAGTGATTCAAAAGTTAAGTGCGGTTAATCCCAAAATAACTGTTAATGTTTGCTTTTATCTTCATACGAAAGGTAAATAAAACAAAGATTTGAAATAAATTTTATAGATAAGAATGTCTTTGAAAAATGGTTCTATTGTTTTAATATTGATTTATGGGTAAGTTAGTGGGTAATTATGGCTGAGTTCAAGTCTTTAGTCTTTGGTTATCAGAGCGTTGCATTCTTAGTTATTGAATAAAAGCTGTGGAACGTATTCAGAGTAATTACATAGCGGTAATGGAGCACTGTGATGTAATGGAGGGCTGATAACCGACCACTAGGAGCCATTACTTCCAACAGGCATTGAGTCATGAGATATAGCCGCAGTTATTTTTTAAACAAAGTGTACCTACATAATCCTTCTAACTGGAGTGTTTTAATAAGTCTACATTCGGGATCGGGGAGAATTTTTGGAATTTAACATCAAATTAGCTGTGTATGTACTTTTAGTTATAGGTTTTCTATGTGGTATATTATCGTCGAATTTAAAAAGTAGAACTCAATTGCGTGTTTCGGTAAAAATAAAAAAATGAAGGTAGAATATTTGTACTAGTTTAAATATTACATCATGAAAATGTCAAACATAGTTCACGCGGAATGCGGCTTAGTTCAATTATTTCTAATCAAGTTTCAAGATTCAAATTCCCATAGAGTATTGTATTAAGTTGTTATCACTGGAGTAGTGAGTACTGGTCGTCCTTCAAGGGACGGCCTTTCGAGGCTGCCAGCATTGTGAGATATTATCCGAACCTCTAATTTACTATATTGCTCTAAAGTTAGCATTCTAAATAATTGCGCGCTACTTAATAATAGGTTGGACATAATTCGTAATATTGGCAAAACTGGATTAGATTAGATTGTGCTATATAAATAAATAATTTACCAGCGTTGTAAACGCCACCTGCATGTACGACAAATGAGTCTGTCAATGCAATCGAGCTAGTTTTCTTGGTGTAACCGTTACTTATGCTACCAAAGTGCGGCGTGATAGCGTTTCTAAACTTTATGATTCGATCATTCATTCTTTAATACTTTCCACGCCCCATATCTTAATGGGACACCGATAGATTTTAATGGCGCGTAGAAAAATAAACTTCATAATCCTTCCTCTCGTAAGGGCAGAAGATAACTCTATCTAGCAAAATAACATTTTTGAGTTGAATAACGTTCAACATTGCTCTTTCATTTTAGATGCGATGATGTGTGCAATACTCAATGCTGTAAATGAATTAGAGTAGCCATGAATTTTGTGTAACTTTCTCTTATTTTTCAATAATTTGTTGGTTACAGAGTAAGGAGCTAAGCGGGAGCGACTGCGGCATGGGAGTGCGCGCGCCAGACTCCCTGCCAGGTCTCACGCACCACTACTGTAGCGACAGGTACAGAGTCTTCTTAATTTATATATTTTTCTTCACTTCTGATCTTTCGCAAAAATAAATCACAATTTTATGTTTGCAGCTATGATTTTAGAGTACAGGGACATTTGTATATTTTACGTATTAGTGCGATACTAGAGGGTAATCTAAATCTGTGTGAAAAACATTGATATGATATTTAAAGTTGCTGCAAACTAAAAATTGGATTAATTTGCGTACTCATTATATGTATAATAACTATAATAAATAACTCTATAGAACTGAAATGTAATTTGATGTTCCTTATTAGCAGAGTAGGATCCTAAGTGAAATTTGTAATCCTCTAAATGGGCCCCATCATACCCTTCCAGGTCCCCAGCGAAATGCAACATAATGGGAGTATCAAAGCTAGTGAACGAGCCGAGCCCGAGCAGCTCGGAGGAGTCCAACTCCCCGACGGAACTGAACTGCTACCGGCGGCTGGGGGAGCGCCCGCCTCTCATGAAGAGGCTGGCCATGGGCCTCAGCGGGGCGCTGCTGCAGCCCTCCGACGATGACTCCACGCCACTCGTCGCAGACACACCCACCACGTACGTTCTAACATTGATTGTTGCTCATTTGTTCTGAGTTTTCCTTACAGTATTAGGATAGGTATTGAGTTTACCAAATTTACCTAAAAGCTAGTAATGAACATGAAGAGGTTGATCGTCTAGTATTTGTTCATGCACTTTATCAAAATATGTTTCATATTCGTAATCGAAGTCTTTCGTGATAACCAGGGTACGATTTAGTCTGGTTTAATAATGAGAAGACCCTGAAGCAGTTCCTGCCTTATTGGTAGATATGTAATACAACAAGTTCAGTCTGATGGAGAATTCCACTGTTGCATTTCAGGCCCACCAATATTCCACTTTGCATGAATGGAGGTTACATCAATGAGGCATCCGAGGCGGAGGCCCGCACGCGGGAGAGCAACCGCGAGCCCCCCGCGGTGCCGGCCGCCCCGCGCCGCACTGAGCTACTCACGCATGATCTCGATGTCGACTTCAGGAGGTGCAACAATATCAAGAACAGGTATTTTCTACCTTCATACTTTATATTCTTAATTTTTTTTTAAGTAGAAGTCGGCAAACGAGCACACAGATTACCTGATGGTAAGCAAGCAATTGGCGCCGCGAAAGGACACTTGCGTTGCCAGCCTTTTAGGGATAAGTGTTTCGGATGTTCAAGGTTTGGGAAGGAATGTCGGGAGAGGGAGGGATTGATAATTCTGCGACCTGAACTTTTCTCTTCTTATTGCTTCTTTTCCTATCGAACCATTCCTGACCAAGTCTTAGATTACGAACGCCTTTTTGCCTTCCGTCAGTTCTCGCTTTGACTCTTTAGTTGATGGTTTATTCCAGTTTCAGCACATTCTTTTAAATGTAATCTACCTACCCACATACATTTAACAAGCGTGAACGTCACTATTAGATAATCTTAAATTCTGACTGAAGTGTGAATAAAATTTAAATTTTACGTTACAATTTAAATGATAAAACGGTACTTATTTAAATGAATAGTCCGACATAAATTTCCAATTGACACCTCGGTAGAAAACTTTTTAGTTGCACAAAAGACTTGAAAAATCTATTTCTCGGCTTTAAAGTATACCGCGTCGCTCCGCGGCGCTGAGACCGTTCTATTTACTTTTTTGATTTAAAAAAGTTGTATATTAAATTACCGCGATGATAGCGGCTTAATGGAAACTGGGTCACGAGTTTTCATTCTTGTGAATGCTCTCAGCGATATTTTATTATAAACCTTTTAAGCTTAAACAGCGGAGTAATGACGTCCGAACTTTTGTTCGGAGAACATTGTAAACACGTATTTGTAGAAATTAAGTTTAACGACACTTTCGACTTCTTGATCCTCTCAGTGCGGGATATTACTTACAGTTACTGACTACCGTCTATGTTTAGATACGCTTTTGGAATTACCATTTGCTGGTACTTTTTCATTTTATTCGTTATTTTATACATATTGTTGTGGAGAAGTCATTTCAAGATTTTCCCCCGGCAAAAAAGGGGGATAATTTAAGGTAGTTCACGTTTTTGAATAATATGGAGTGAATTACGTGCGTAATATGTCAATAGTGTGATCATTAGAGTTTAATTTTCGAAGTGATTGCACAATCGCGGTAACCATCAAAACAATTGCGCAATTCAGAGAATATTGATTGATTCAAATTAACAATTTTAGTTAAAAAATAACACTAAAGGCCTTCGCTAAGTTACACAATTTTCTTAGTTAACACACATGTAACATTTAACCTATTTAACACATTTAACCCATTCGCAACATTCTCTTTAATCTTCAAACTTACCGATATTTAATTAAAAATAGCAAAAATGATCAATGTTCTTCAATAATCCATGTTAACATTATGCAATATATATATTTGTAATAATTGTTCCGTGTGTCCAGTGAGTCGGCGGCGTGTAGTCGCACGACGTCGTCGTCGTCGGGCGCGTCGTCGTGCGGCGGTGCGCCCGCCAACAACAACGTGCCGCGCGCCGAGCCCGAGCTGCGCCAGGCGCCCTGGTTCCAGCACGGGATACCACGAGAGGTTATCTTCATTCTAAATTCTTCTCTCCTAACCATTTTCATAATATCATTGCCCCAGAACTTGGGTTTCATGATCATCGGCCCATAAGTGCCCACTGCTGAGCAAAGGCCTCTTCACACTAGGAGAAGGTTTAAGCATTAATCACAACGTTTGCTAAAGGCGGACTGGCTATTTCAAACTTATAACTGGAAATGATAAGTCCAGGTTTTCTCACGATGTTTTCCTTCACCGTAAGCCAATGGTGTCGAAATAATCACAGAGAGTACATATAACTTGGAAAATGTCACATTGGTACTTGCAAGGTATAAAACTCGCACCCTCATGCATGAGCCGGGGTTGCTGTTGGGGCCCAGAGCAGGAGAAGGAACAGGGGGGTTTTTAGTCAGTAAGAGTCTGACACTCCCTCCCGCCCGGCCCTGGTCGGGAGAAGTCATTTGATGATTTTCCCCTCACAAAAAAAACCCTCATGCATGAGAAGCAGGAGTCTTAATCTCCGGGCAACCACGACTAATACATATAACTTTGTTTTGCTAAATGTTATGTCTACATAACGTCTACAACTTTACACGAGGTCTCTTGGAAATAGCCATTTTATTTTTAGGTTTCATATTAGGTATATATGTATATATTCCTATTGGATGATGATATAACAGCAAGACATCCAGCCATCCTTCATATATAATATCAAACAATATCAAAGTATTTGGTGTCAATATTTCAGATAGCCCTGGAGGTGCTGAGCTCGCAGCCGGTGGGCGCGTTCCTAGTGCGCGGCAGCACGACGCAGGCCGGCTGCTTCGCGCTCTCCGTCCGCGTGCCGCGGGACTTCACGCCCGCCGGCATCGCGCACTACCTCATACTGCGCACGCCCAAAGGGTACAAGATCAAGGTCAGCCTTGGCACAAGTCATTTTCAAAGTCAAAAATCATTTATTCCAATTAGACATTTACAGGCACTTTTGAACGTCAAACAAAAATTTTGAAGATATAGTGTCAGTCTGTCGGTCAGTCCTCTTAGTGAAGCTATTTGCTCGTTCCAAAGCACGGACTTTGTTCTTACTCCGTGTTCCAAAGTGTAGATTCCGATGGAGAAGAACGAGCAAGAAACTCCATGGTTACTCTTTTTAAATCAGTTTCACATACAGATTCTTTTTTACATACTTTAATGTTTTTTAACATACTTTAATGTTTTCACGGCTATAATCAGTTCTCAGAAGGCAAATCCACTTTCGATTAAATATTTACTTTTTTGCATATTGTCAACTATATCTAATAACAACATTACTCTCAAAGTTAAATCCCGCCCCACCATTGTCTGGTGATCTTAATTTGAAACAAAAACGTACCGATGCTTTTTTGTACTAAATTTATCGGATTCTTCATTAAATTCACTCATTTTGATAGTACTACAACAAATGAAAATTACAATTTTCCAAGTTTGAATTTGGAATTGTGTTATTTATAATTTAAATTTTCAATTTTTAATGATACGAAAACCGGCCAGATACCAACAGTATCTAGCAAAAGAAATTTATAACAAATTCATACCTACTGTACCGCGAAAAGACTTTTTCCCAACCTAATAAATATTACTGTTCTTGTTGAGTGTTGCACTGATGTAAGTGTCGTATGTATCAGGGGTTCACGAAAGAGTTCACGTCTCTGTGCGCGCTGGTGACGCACCACAGCGTGATGCCGGAGCTGCTGCCGGTGCCGCTGCGGCTGGCGCGCGCGGGGCCGGGCGGCGCGGGGGGCGCGGGGGGCGCGGGGGGGCGGCCCGCGCCGCGCCGCGACCACGCCGACCTGGACGCACTCACGCGCACACACAGGCACGACAACCACAACACCACGCACCCACACCACCACTTCCTCGCACAGCTTGACGTCTAGCTCCTCCTCTCATTTAGTGACGTCACTTTTTCCATTTTAGTCAAATCAACTTGAAATAAATTCAAGCGATAGGTGTGATTCATTAACTGATGCTTATACAAAAATTCTAAGATAGTCAAAAATATATTGTACCTGAAGTATCTTAAATTGTCAGTCTCCCCTTTACTCTCTAGGCGAGATGGTAGGGCTGTATGAAAATTTTCGAATAATATATTATCTCAAATTCTATCCCATTGCACTTGTAACACTGCTACTGATTTAATGTTATTGACACCCTCATTTATTGAGTATCTTGGACTTTTTGTATGTTCATTGGTATCAAGAAAACAGAAAAATAATACTCATGTATGTTTGTTGGGAAAATCATGTTTGCTGTTATAGTCACTAAGATAGAACGTAATAATAACATAATAACATAATTTGCGAAAGGATAGTTTCAGGATTGCCATGATTTCATTCATCATTAACATTTAGATAATTATATTATCAATCATAAATTTAACAATGTAATTTCAAACCATAGGAGAAACAAAGAAACGCACATACTTCTATAATATATTTGCTAAATCACTATTTACTCACTTTAATGAAACGTAACAATAATTATCTTCGCATTAAAACTAATTATTAACTGTTATACAAAACATAGATATGAAAAAATATAAGATTTCTATATAATGATTATGAAAGAGGAATATTATCTAAAATAGTCACGTTTAGGAAGTCATTAAATTATTATTGTATGTTGTCTAGTAACTGTTGGTAAGTTCTCTTTGTAAGAATATTGTGATAAATATCATAATTAGGGTGTGTACGCAAATGTAAAAAATATATTTGTAAAAATATAATGTGTATATGGATTGTAATTATTAGAAGTTTCGTGTCATAATCATAGTTTGTATGATAGTTATAGGGGAGGGAACCGCGCGTAGTCTGGGCTTAGCGACGATATTCCTGTTTCAGGTGTTATAAGAAACTAGAAACAAAATATTACCTCCTCTACTCACAGGAATATAGCACTTATAGTATTGAGATTGACAACCCGTCAATATAATCAAGTAATCAAAAAAAAAAAAATACGTCAAAATAGAAAATTCTAACTAAATTCTGTAGTTATGAAGGCGCAATCTAGCACCTGAAACAGGAGTGTCTTTAAGTTTAAACTAGTTTGCGCTTAAAATGTTTAATTAAATTGTGTAGGTATGTTCTAGTCGAATGAGATGTACAGCGGTGCGAGCATGGAACGATGCACGGGCACGGATAATACCACACATTATTTGTTATTTGTAGATACTCCACGCACGCGTGCGTGTGTATGTTTTACAGTCAAGATGGCCACCGTTGTCGACACGCCACACTTGTACAAATTATACCGAGTACAACTAAATAAAATCTGTTGTGAAAAATCCCTAATTACAAAGTATCAAGGTGAGGTACAAGTGGCTTTACAGCGATTTCAAGAAGTTGTTCGCCATAAATGTACGTTGCTTATAATTATGAGCCCCAGTTTAACTCGAAATAATTCAGGTACAAGTTTATATAAGTAAAGATATTATTTTACCATTTCTTTTACAATGTATTTTTGTATCCTTGTAAAGCTTACGCTGCAGTCATCAACTTTTCTTGAGACCTTAATTTTAAACAAGTGTTGGAGTGTTGACAACTGTGAAGCATTTACAATAATAGAGTAAACATCGGAGCTCGGCGACTGAGTCGCCATCTCTCGGTGTATGTTGTAAACAAGTTGCCTTTTAGCGAGTACCCACACTGCGGCTTCGCGTGCGTGACGTATGGACACACAGACGGTAGATACAGCAATGATCGTTATGATGGTGAAGGGGAAAGTATGCACTGTTAGTTTCAATCAAATGAATAAATAAATAAATTAACAGTTGAACTATTCTTGTTTCACTATTTGTCTTTTATGGATAAAATAAAGCCATATTGTTATTAGCCAGAGGTTGCTGGTCGTGTGTGTGTCTGTCCGTCACAGAATTTGTTGTTTGTTATACACTGCCTTAGTACGGATCGTTTGTATAAACGTAATGATATCAGTAGTTTAGTCTGTTGATGTTTACTGTGACTTGCCATCGCATCACTACCGTATTGTTAGGACATTAGCACTTGACAGTTTTATTATGGCAACTGGCAATACTATTCATCTGTACTTCTAATGCTTTGAACCCATATTAATAGTCCGATTCACGTTGTTGTGATTATTTTGATAGATTCCAAGGTCAAAAATATACATACATTATTTCAATATTATTTTCATTCATTAATTTGACAATAAACATATTTTTAACAAAGATTTTAGATTTGCTATTTAACATCATTATGATAACATAGTATGTTGCGGTCTTATACAAAATTCATTGAGAAGTATCGTTTCAAACATTTCAAAAAAAGAAATTGAATTTGACTGAGATATTCAAGAGCGCGAGGCATGCTTCTAGTGACCATAGTTCTTGTATTATATACGAGTCAGTTTGTATTAATTATTACTTGTTGATCTTGCACCCAATTTCAAGCTTTCATTTCTTACTAAGGAAAAGTTATCTGAGCTGAAAGAAATCAATAATATAGGTAATAATAATTATGGTAAGATTAGAAATTGGGTTCAATAAAACTATCCAATGCTTAAATCAAAGTTTTACTACTTAGTAAGTATACATATATTATAAAGCGATAGTATATATTGTGCTCATATTACACCTAGTAGCAATCCGTTTACCCTTGATAAATTTCTATACTCGGAATTTTAATTCCATTCCAGATTTGACAATTTCAGTGTACGTTATGACACGTAATAAATAGTGACGTTGCGAAATTATTCGATGTGGAAATCGAATATTTTTGAATCGATTCCTCTCGTTTATAAATTTAATCTCGTAAGCTAAGTATTTTATATATATATTAGCTTATCAGGAAATAAAATATTTCTGAACCGATAATTTAGTTTTGACAATTAAGTAACGATCTGAGACTTTTCTTTTGTAATTGTGTGTGAAATTGATAAAAAATGTGATCATGAAGGAACATGACAAATAAAACAGAAATTTTATAAAATGTCGCCGTCATTGCTATCGCTATCGTTGTTACTTTCTGTAACATTTATTATGAATTGTGTCTGTGATTTTTATTGTCAATTAAAATATCTAGCTTACTAATTTTTTCCTCTTCTTTGACAACATGGGATACGCATTTAGACCATTCGGTAGCCGTAATTCTTTGAATGCCTTCCTTAAACTGATTCACTGATTGTTTATCGATTTTTGTGTTCATCACTACACTGTTATATATGGTATCATTATTTCACAAAATGACAATAGGTCATGTCAAATCAGGAATCGAATTAAAATTCTGACTATAGATCATCTATTCCACTTTCCACATTCTTGACAACAGATGTCGCCATGTGAAACGTCAGTTTTGTACCTAATAAGCGAATTTTATCCACCTTTACAAGTGTAGTTGACTACATCAGTGAAACTAATAATTTATTTACGTATAAATAAAATAAATATCAAGAATATTATTTACTGTTGTTTCATTTTAATTACTTACCATGATATTGAAAAGAAAGTTTTATAATCTATAATAGATTTTTTAATGAAATAGGAGGCAAACGGACGGACAGAATATCACCTGATGGTAAGCGATCGGCGCCGCCCATGGACACCCGCAGCACAAGAGGTGTCACAGGTGCGTTGCCGTTGCTCGTTTCTTAAAGGTTTGAATGTTTGAAGGTCGTATCGGTTCGGTAATATCGCCGCCGGAAAATCATTCATCAAAAGTTACGCGAGAATCGCACAGTTGTTGACTGCCAACCATCTCTGTGATGGGGATGAAAATGGTTGCGCGTAGAGCGTTAGGATTTTAAATAAATGCAATTGTAACTACTTTTAAACAGTAAAAATCAACTATCTCTCTTTGTACTTTGATTTTTACGTACTACCTAACTAGAGGTCCAAGCAAACAGCGCAGCGCCATCTCTCGTCAATTCGGGAAGGTATTTGAGCTTCGAGTTAAAAAAGTTCCTTCACAGTTGCGTTACTCATTCTCTGTCTGTATTTTAGGCTGCTACCCTGGGGGCTGTTTAGTTCCGCGGGTTGCTTGTAGATGTCAGCATTGTGCTATTTGAGCTAGTTCGACTACTTTCAGTTGTACCGTGATTTCAACTTGTTGTGTATTTGATTGCAGCTGAAATTAAAACTTTAAACATTACAATGTATGGCGTATTAATTAAATATTTAATAACAACTTACTCACGTCAATTTTACTGAGAAAAGTTATCATAATTTCAAGTCACAACTGGACTTTTGTAAGTAGTGTACTTTAGGATCATTTTGTTATTAAAATATTAACTAAGAATATGTCACTACTGATTATTAAGGAGGCATAAAATTCGCAATATGTGTAAGTAAGTATTAATTTCGAAGCGGATATCTTATTTTTATGTGATAAGGGAAACGGGCAGACCGATTACTTGATGGTAATCTATTGGCGCAGCCTATGGACACCAGAGGAATTACGAGTGCGTTGCAAGCCCTTTAGGTATTAAGGATTTGGAGATTTTTGATTGATCCGGTAATTCCACTCACATGGCAAAATACAACGCTGTGGTTATTCCACGCTGGTTTGCTGTGAGGGTAGTATCATCCGGTCAAGACGACCCATTCATGCCGAAACGCGGCTCGAACACACTGAAACTATAAATAGGTAACTATGAATCCATAACTCCATAAATAATTAAAGTCTATCAATATTTTGTATACACATAAAATTTTCATTGTATAAATCGTTAATGCTAATACATATATATGATACATGTGGAAAGCAATAAAGTATTGAGTATTGAGTATAATAATATGAATCCCTACTATAAATACCAACTGTATAACACACTTTCAGATCTTGCTTCTGTCGTCGACGTGCTCAACGCATTACTTTCAATAAAGCCGCGAGACATTCGCTACTTTAGCAGCGGCAGCCAACGTCTAAACGGTTTAAAATGAGAAACAAATGGAAGTTATGGATGTTTGATACTTAACCGAAGCAGTATTGGTGACTATAATGGGTTGTACCAGTCGTCTCTCTATATGTAGTTTGTACTGTTATTTTCGATGGTTCTACCCGGTCGATGTGATTAGAGCAATACATTACATTTATACGTTTGGAAACTTAAAACTTAGCCTGTGATGTGATGGAACGCTGATCCTTGCAAGACACGCTATATTTTTATTGTAACTCTTAAATATTTTATAGTATTAAATTATATTAGACACTAACTTTGACGATTCTATTTTCCGAATCCTGATCACTAGCTCCGTCCAAAGGTTTTCTGTAGTAATTGCATTTAGCAATGTACATTGATATCTTCAACTTTTCTGTAGATTTTCATGGTGTACAATAAAAAATCATGTTTAATATTAATAAATATAAAATTGGTTCAGTACCCTAAGCAGTATTAGTAACAGTAAGCCTCTCATCAAAAGTCACAAAATCTCTCTATTTCAAAAACAAGTCAACGTCATCGTGCTCTAAAAAAATCACGCGGTTTCGTTGCATTAACATAATGGTGTGAGCGCAAAAAAACATACATAATTCATAAAAGAATGCTTTGGCCCTTGTAAATCATTATTAAATGATATTTAAGTATTATCTAAGAAAGAGCGTTAATGACGTTTTCGAACTACCTACATCATTGAATGACTTATCCTGCCGCGGGTAGATGCTCATGCTATGAATTCTGTGCTAAACTCATTTTAGTATAAGTTTGTAAAAATTACCATATTCATTGTAATGTAGTGGTAATATCCAGATCACACCACACAGTAAGTAGATGAGAGCTTGATATGATCAATAGGACTTATGCCTGCCTAAATGCCTAGTGTCTGTTTTTTCTTTGGTTAGAAACTCATCTAGCAACTTCTCTCCCCAGTGTAGGGTGTGATGAAGTGTCATAATTTTACTGAATAAATCCAATCTCTCGTTTTTTCTCCTGTCCCGAACTGCATCATTATGCTTGCGACAGCGACCTCGGCTGGACAT